GTGTGCCTTGCCTATTCCCATTACTGAATGGGCCAGTCATTTCAGGGTTGGCAAGACAGCTCAGCTCGCGCCCTGCCAGAGGCATCAGTGCTTTGTCTCCAGAAATGTCAGCAGTGTGCTGACTTGAGGGATGGAGCCAGCACCTTGGTTGTACAAAAGCGCTGCTTTTATTACTGGATTTATAGAGTTACATAAAACATGACAACGTGGACGCACGTAAAGTAATACTTTTCCTTTTTGGTGGAGAATCTATTCTTATTCATAATTTCGCCAAGATTTATATGAGAAGATTAATATCACTTTCATGCTTGTACATTAAATATCAAGCTGGAGCTAGCGCCTTGTTAGCTTAGCTTAGCATAAGGCTACACGCAAGGGGAAACAAATCCATCTACCGTCACCTCTAAAACCCACTATCTAACACTTAATTTCTCGTTTGTTTGGTTTAGTAAAAAACACATGTAAAAAGTGAGAGTCTTTAAGTCATGCTAAGCTGTGCTAGCTCCTTGTTAGCTTAGCATAGCATGAGGCTGGAAACAAGGGGTGCATGGCTCTGTGCAAAGAAAACAAATTCCCCTACCGTCACCTCTAAAACTCACTATATAACACTTTGTTTCTCTTTTATTTAATCAATCAAAAACGTGTACAAGTGATGGCCTTCATGCTTTGCCAAGCTAACAGACACATTCACATATTTTATCCCATATTCCTTAAAAGTGTACAATTTGTCAAAATGTATTTTTGCCAAGAGGGTGGGATGTGAAGAAATCTAGTAACATTGTGTTGACAACATCTTATGAATATTGAGCCATATAACAATACAATAAGTATAAACATATATTATTTGGAGTTAAATGCTACTTTGCTTGGATGCCTGTGACTCCCCACAGGATATCTCACCTATTCCTCAGAGTTGAGCTAATTGCCATCTCTGGCAACCAATTAAAAAAAATTCTTATCATCCACACTTGAGATAGCAATTTCCCTCACAATAGGTCTCCAAGTCATGGAGTACCAGACTGCTTCCAACTTCACCTAGCACAAGAGGCAATAATTATGGTGACATATTTAGACACATGCAGTCATAAGCCACCATAGTTACAACATGAGATATTTCTGCCAATGTTTTGGAAAGTCAGAGGTGAATTTAAGTGCGCTCAATAGGTTATTCTCAGTATAGATATATATCTGTATCTACACCATTGGGAAAAACATGAGGGCATTTTATAGTATAATTAAAATCTGCTACCTGTTACCATCCACTACTGTATGTGAATTTGTGAATTGGACATTTGAAACAGTTTCAGAGGCGTTAGAATAAGTTCCTCTTGAGCCAGTGTACTAACTCTCCTTCAATCGATACCGCCCTGCAGTTGTAAGAGACACCTCAGACAAAAAAAAAAGGTTTTGAGGAAACTAAACTTTGGGAAACATGATTACTGGGCTTTGACTCTCTGACCTGACTTTTGGAGACTGGCCTGGCTCTAATGGTGTCTTTGGAGAGGGAATCTCCATTTCAACGGGTGTACAAAGAGAAGATTGGGAGCTATAGAGAAAGCAACTTATTCCTGCAGTCGCTTCACAGCCACACAAAATCTCACAGACTCCTCTCCTCTCTAACTCCTCCAATTGAAGTAAAACCTTGGTTCATATGAAACAAAAGCTAATCAAACTGGAGCGATTGTAAGTGAGGAATAACTTTGATTATATAGATCTATATTTCTGGCCATCCCTCTGAAATATACTGGAATTTGGGATAGCATCGATAGTGCTAATGAAGGGGTGCCCACACTTTTTCAGCTTGGGCACTACTTTTAAAATGACCACGCCCAAATGATCTACCTACAGGGCCGCCCCTGCCCAATCTGTGTCATGAGCGGGGGGGGCTGCTGGTGGACTAAACGGCGGATGAACTGTGGCGCACTTACACTAATTGCGCCGCATAAGCGTATAATAGTAAGGATGGGTGATGGGTTTTTTCTTCTTCTACGTATTGGGCACCCCTGTGCTAATGCATTCACTTTGACGCTGTGATGTTGGTCATAAATGCTAATGCTGAACTTGCACTACTTTATTTGGCATCTTTTTATTCCATTACATTTAGCTGATGCTTTTATCCAAAGCATTTACAATAAGTGCAATAAACCACAAACTCATATTAACTTTTGATAGTGCTGATGCATTATTTTCAAATGAGCCGAACCCTTTTTTGATTAGGTTTGGTTGGTCTTGATTGGCTGGCCAGGTTATAAGGGAAACAGGTGGGTTTTCAGTCGGTCAATGGGGAGATTGTTTCATCATTTTGGAGTCATCATTAATGTATTATACTGTCACGGACTTATGAAGAAACAACACGTTCCTAATGAAGGATCGTGAAGTTAGTCTGTTTTGTAGTAAGTTGTGTCACGTCATCTAGCTGCAGAATTGCCTTTGTAAAATAATACCAATATATATTTTAAACACTTTCTTTAATAGTGTCTGTAGGGTTTTCTGATGACACATTTGTTTATTTCGATAAAATGGTAGTGTACTTTGGGTCACACATACACAGTTTCTGGAAGTCATAAGGTGTTGAGCGATGCACCAAATGTATCCTTTACATCAAATGAGTGAATGAAAATGGCTGTAGCTAATAAGATAATAAGAGAATTCCTATCTTTATGCAATATTATTGTGGTTGTTTCCTCCCTGCAATGTTGTTTGCTGCCTCTCAGTAAAGTACACAGTATGTATTTGGTATTGTGTGGCATTACTACGAATAATGGACGAATTTTTACAATACACATGCTAGTACAAAAGCTGTGACAGGTTGAGCTCCCAGTAAAACAGCACGATAATAATCGGATTCGGACAACACGCCCAAATGCCCAAAACGTATTCAGTTGTTTACTGCCTTTAAAGCTCAAGGGCCAGCTACTGTACACACCTCTGAGTCACCAGCCACCTCTCAAAAGATGTTCCTAAATATAAGTCTGGTGTTGCTGTGTAAATGTTTTTTTTTCCAATCAGCACTTTAAAGGTTGCTAATCTTTTCCAGACTTCTTCCAAGCAGCCATTAAGCCTCCTGTAAACTCACTGCCTGAAATATAACAGCTTATTAATCAGAACAACACCATGCACACGCATTTATTCTAAGAGTGATGTTTTTTTCCCCCAGTTTTCTTCACAGGTGTAATCAGAAGTGTAATCCATCACTTGCCCCCTCTGATTCTTGTGGATATAAGTCTGAAAGATTTGATGTTTATTGTTCCTGTAAATGTCACAGGATCTATTTCTGTGGTGCAAATACAAAACATTTCTCTGGAAAAAATGTTGTATCGTACACATGACTCATAGAAACTTCACAGCTCACATTGAGTAGTATGGTATTTATTTAATTAACTGGGCTGCCCAACGGGTCTCAAAGGACCGAGTATCCCAGCTATTAAATACATTTTCTCCCAGAAAAAGAGTAATCACAGCTGTTTATGATGATTACAGTGTATAATTATTTTCTGTTGAGCCCACTGTGCTTCTTTACCGCCCTCTGAGTCCTTAGTATGATACGACTTTTGACAATATGATCTCTCTCTCTTGGTTCTGCAGAATGGCGAGGCATCACTCTTTGAGGTGAACATCCGTTACGTTGGCGGCTTGCTGTCGGCCTACTACCTGACAGGAGAGGAGGTAAGATTAATAGACGTCTGTTCTCCCTCTTCTCTGCTGAGATCTGCTGCTCCATTCATCCCCACCCAGCCTTGTAGTTTGAACGATGAACAGGCTGAGTGACTTCCTGTGCGTGCAGAGTAGCGTCACCTCAGTGCATAAAATGATCTCTTACAAAAGATCACGTTGCAGGTTTATCCAACCGTAACACTATATGTTGCCTATCAAATTACATACAGTTCATTGTTTGGCACTTTCATTATTTTCACTGGGAAATTAGTGTTTTAATGTGCTCATGCGTTCAGAGGTTTTTTTGTTAAAATAAACAAGACCCTGTTTTGACAATAGGTTGTTGAGTATGTAAGATATCATATTAATACATTCTGATGCCATTATCTTATGCAGTGCCACACACTGGAATAACATTTCACATTTTAACAGATTTGTTTTGGCCAGTTTTCAGTTGCCATAACATTTCTAGTTTTATGCAAATGTTAAAAGGGAGAATACACTCTGCTGCTTAAATCTATTCACTGTTTGATTCTGGGTTTGTTTTAAGCCACGATGTGCTCCTAACTGCAACAACAAAGCTCGATAAAATACTCAAATATGCAGATGATTGAAACAAATATGTCGTGTGGCCGAAAAATTGAAATGTGCAACAACAAACTAACCAGATCAAATTGTTACAAAAACATGAAACCACGTTGTTATAGATTTGGGAGTTTCAGCCTTATTTGGTTTTATTTGCAGCATCTCATAATAATTCAAATATATATTTTTTTATGTTAACTCAAAATATTTAAAATAATGAGGCTTAAGTATGAACAGCTTCAAATCTGCGAGGACTCAGGCTACACTAGAAAACGGAAGGTCATTTGCTCCTATCTTTTGAAAGGTAGAGTGAATGAGAATCACTTTTCTCTGTTTGAAGAGCTATCGCCGTTGTGTCCTTCAATAAAGCCGCAGTCGTTCGGGTGAAGCGTGATGTGCCACTTTGTGTCAAGGCCAACAGACAGCTAACAGTGAAGCTGAGAAACCTTATGAGTGTGAAGCGCGGCCTTGCCAGAAGAGAAGTATGAATACAACCTGGCTGCATGTTTAGAAATGGCCTGTGACAACCACATAGTACCAATGGTCCAGTTTATTATCAGTGCATTGTGAAGTCGCTGGAGGTCAACACATCATCGTAATGAGCCTCCGCCAACATACACTGCAGTGGTGATGTTGGAAAGGTACTCTATGGAAGAGACTTAAATCTGTGCAGAAGCAGAATTAATGGAGAGAGGATCCAGTGACATATGAACACTCAAGTCGGTTTAATGGACATTGATTTGCAGGCCGAGCGAGTTGAGGGAAGAGCAGCATTAAATTGAGTGAAATATGAACACATTGCTGGAGCAGAATATATCGTTGAATCCATTATTCCACATTTGTGTGCCATTAATGCCATGCAGGAAATGTTCTTCTATTTTATTCACTGGTCCGTGGACATTTCTATATATATTGCAAGGGTAATGACATTTTTTAATATGAATGTGTGTTTCTGCGAGAGAGCAAGAGAGTGTATTATCCATAAAGTTTGCATTTATGTCTCCCCTCGGACAAGGACTTACAGTACTGAAGTCTAGGTGAAGAAAAGCGTAGAAAAACAGAGCAGCTACCTTTAACACCTTTCGTATCCATTACATGTATTCATACCCGGTGTTTGATTCATTTGGTAGAGTGGAGAAGAAGTAAAACAATTTAGTTCTGGTTCAGATTGTGTTCACACTGAATTATTGCAAACAAACCAAGACAGGTAATCGACATGAAATACAATTCCAGACGCATTAAGTTCCTACTGAACCTTGTTTGTATTTTTTATCTGATTTAATGTTCACAGGGGGCTTAAATAAATGACTTAAGAGGATTAGTTGTGACTGGAGCTGGACTTTTTGTGTCATAAATAGTGACAAACTGGTTAAAACAGGATAAAAAGAGGCTTTTTAGCCTGCAATATTACAGGGATATTTGTGTGGTTGCTATATTTTACTTCTCGTTTTATTGGTAAGCAGCTTAAATAAACAGAGTAGGAAACAAACTCACCACGCTTCTGTGAATTGTATTACTTATTACAGAGATCTATTTCGTGACATATGACATTCACAAGATGCGTCATTAGTAATAAAGCTTTTGGGTTTGAATGAGCCAGAGCCAAAACAGACCAAAACATGCAAACAGAGAAATACACCAGTCAGTTTGAATCTAATCAAACAGATGAAAGCTCCAATAGTAATCTGTTTTTTGACATATTTGTTTCCTCTTGCCACACTAAATACATTTCTGTTTTTATTATCAATGTTTCCATCCATCTCTTTTGCTCGCTAACCTTCCCTCAGATGACTGCAGTCCTTTTTCTTTGCGTTTTGACTTTCTTACCTTTTAAAGTGCATCATCTTTCTTATGAGATGGAGCACACCGTCGCAGTTTCCTGACGGACATATCAATACCCTTTACCCCGACGTGGTTGTCCATCACAAGCTCACTTGTGTGCTTTCTGTGAAGGGTCCCTGAGCTAGATTTATAGCCACCTGATCCCCCAGCCCCCGACTCCGCTATTAGGATCTTTGTCCTCGGAGTCTGTTCATCCGAATGATAAAAGGGACAGATTGAAGGTCTGTCCCTGCTGCAGAGACTTTAATCAACCGCGATACAGTTTGGAGGACTATTACCAGATTGTGGGTCCGGTCTGACCGGAGGACACTGGGCAGCTGGTGCCGCTGTAAATGATTACCGGGGGGTGGGCGGGGGGACTGATTATGGCTCCTCGGGGGTTGCAGTGTGCCGGTGAACTGCTTGGAGCAGAAACAGAGCAGCACCTGACCATTAATAACCTCCTGTTGTTTGTGTGCGTCCTGTTTATATGTGTTTTCTTGGGGCCCCAGTACGATCATTGTCAGTCTTTATGGAAGCGGTCCCCGGATGAAACGTTGTGTTCAATTGGGTCTGTCAGCTGCTGCTTTTGCCGCTCTTCCATCATTCACCGTCACACACTCATGGCCAGGCCAAATGGCCCCCACAAGAAGGGGCCATTACAGAACTGCAGGTGTTCGATGTGTGCGTCCTTCTGTGAGGAGCCCACCTGTTTGGTCATTTGTCAAAACCTGAGGGCTGCATTACCGTTTTGGTCGTTTTTTTATTAATTGATCAATTGTTTAGTCAATTAAAAGTACAATGTTGTGTTGTTCCTGTATCAAAATGTCCTTGAAAGCATTTATCATATTATCTTTTTATCAACTTCATCCCATTTTTATGATTTATTTATTTTTTGCTAAGTAAGGTCGTTATTTTTCTTGCACTGCCTGTGCTGCGTTACCTCTTGTCACACTCTTTCCGAACCAGAGACTAGTCTGCTCTGATTGGTTAGCTGGCCGGCTCTGTTGTGATTGGTCAACCACTTAGAGATGTCCCGCTCCTTAGCCTATCACGTACAATACGTTGGAGCTCTAGCCAATAGAAAGACAAGTGATAAATAGTGATGTCACTGTTTCAGGCAGGCAGGCAGGCAGGGGGGGGATTGTCTGGGAGAAAACTCCATATGTAGAAAATGTCTTGATTTTAGCCTTTGAAGAATATTTACATGCTTAAAAAATGTATACAGACTACAGGAAAGAGAACCCCCCAAACAGCATCATGGAGCCTCTTGAGTTGTTTGCTAATTTACAAATATTTGTCAACTATAATATACTATCCCCCTTTCCCTTATAGACCCCCCTCATCCTCACTAACTAATTCTCCTGTGTGTTTACAGTGCAGATATATATGTGTCCTTGCAGGGGGTTGTGCACAGCAAAGTGCCCCTCTCTTCACCTCTATAGGAACATGTTTGTTAGAACAGTTTATCAACTCGACCTCAATATCTCAAATGCATGCCTTGGTGCGGTCCCATGCGTGCACGTTTCATTTGTTAGTGTCCATTTATATGCATATCAATGTGTGTGTGGTGGTGAGACCTTGTTGTGTCATCCCCTTCCCTTAGCAAGAACAAAGAACAGTGGAGGGAAAATGGAAGTGGGGTTGAATTCAATCAGCCTTGTGTGAAAATTGCCCCTGGGCTGAGCTGTAGCAGCAGGGAGGCAGCGAGGCTGAGGAGAAGAAATACGTGTGTTCATATGCTCATCAGCAAGAGGAGAGAGGAGATGAAAAGAGAGGAGAGGAGGATCAAGAGAGGTGAGGAAGAGCGAAGGAGTGTGTTCATAAGCTCATCAGAAAATATCAAAGTGCAGGAGAAGGTGATACACGGAGGCAGACAAGTGAGGACTAGAGAGAGAGTTTGCAAAAAATAAAGGAACTAGTATTCCTATTGGGGGAAAGCGTTCATAGAAAACAAATGTATTCCCTTTAATACTGTGATATTCACTCGTACAATATAATGAGTGTGAAAGTCCCCGTTTGGGAGATACAGAGGAGGAAAGTTTGAAGGCTAAATGTTTAGGAAGTATCTCTTGGAGAGATAAAAACATATGGACAGTTAACACAACTGTATTTCCATTAAATTGACTTTAGTTTTAACTTTCAAATACAGACATTTAAACCCAATAAAAAGTAAAAATGTTGAACAAACTATATTAACACATACTACTACTGTGTTGGTTGATACCTTTTGTTCTGTTCATATTCATGCACTTACTGTAACAGCTTGTCTTCGTAGTCTTTTTTTTTAAAGTTGCTTTTAATATGCGATTCAACCTGCAGATTATGGTTCTTTTAGTATTGCTTGGCCTTTCAAGCCTTATTAACAATGTTTAATATGAGTGTTCTCCTGTGTCTTGTTTCTTGATAATGCTTTTATTAGCTGCTGTGGTGCATGGGTGAATTAATGAAAGTGTAATATTAAACTTTCAGAGAAGTGAATACGTAGATATAAATATGACGATATATAAAAGTACTTTGACTTAATCACCATGTTATTTTGTATAATATTATTGCGCCATTATCTGTAGAGGGTAGACATGCTAGTCTGCCTGCTCTTGCCGCAC